TTTATCATATAGATTGAGACAATTACCAAAATCATAGTTAATTAGTTTGATAAAATTTTCAAAATCAAAAAATTTGCATTGAAATTATTTCTTGTATTACCTCTTGTCACTTCTTATCACACAAGTTATCTCTTATCACATAAAATTATCAACTTCTCGAAGTTAAATTATCAGTTTATTCATTATTTTAAGTAAAATTTCACATGATACTATACGAAAATATAGCAAAAAATAAAAATTATACAAGAATTTATAATAAGATATATTTTAGAGTCGTCGACAAATTGTTGATGATGTAATACCAAATATGCTTGCTGGTATGCTAATATCAGTTGATATATGAACGGCATGATCAACGATGGAAAATTGTGGTTTCACCAAATGATATGGTAATTTATCGGTTATTAATTCAACAGTAATTCCTTTTGATAGTTCACTGTTAGCTGTCTGAAAATTTGAATTAAATTTCATTACAAACTCCACTAAAATATCTATCCATTTTAAATTAATTGATAACATTCAAATTTTTGAAATTGTCAAAAAATTTAAAATTTAATTTCTTTCATTTTTTTTCAATCCTTTCCGATTTTCTTTAAAACATAAAATGTTGTGGAAAACATAAATTTGTCAAATATACGATAACTACATACAAAGAAGAAAAAAAGTAAAACGATATGCTCTTTTTTTTGCAGTTAAAAAAAAATTTCATTATACAGTTGACAAAAAGTTTTTTACAAAAAAAAAAATGTAGTAAAAAGCTTGAAGAGTTAAAATTTCATTCAATGAATGCTATTTTCTTTCATATTTATGTCTAAATTTTACTCGAAAAAGAAAATTACCATATTTTCAAATTTTCAACATAATTTCAATTATTTAATCAAAGAAAGAAATTAATTAAAAGCTAAATTTTCTCTTTCTTTTTCTCATAAATTTATCCATCTCTAATAATTTATCCAATAATTATACAAAAATGAATATTATGATTAGTCTCTCAGTCGAACACAACATTATCATAAATATTATCAATATTTATATCTTCTGAATTTGTTTTAACTTTCTAATTTTAACTTTCTTGTAATAATGTATAAATAACTAGAAAATTTTTAAAAAAAAATTGAAGCTACAAAGTTTTCAAAGTTGAAAATTCTGATTTCTTTGTTTTTTTGAATTGGTACCTAACTAATTGCAAATCCTTCAGAATAATTTTATACCATTTAAAATGATCCAAAAAAAAATTTTCCTTTCTTTCATATCTTCTTAAATCTTAGCAAAAAATCCTACGCTGTCACTTATCTAATTGTTTATTTACTTGTTTGTTTACGTAATTCAGTAAATAACAAACAAAATGTTCAGATAGTTTTTTAATTAAAATTTCAATTTAAATTTTACTTAATTCAAAAGTAAATAAAACATTCAGCATGAAATATTTTCGATAATGCTAAAATAAATTAGAAAAGATAATTAAAAAATATTTTTAACTGCTATATTTCTTTTTTCTTTTTTTTTTGTTTTGTTTTGTTTTTTTTAAATTTGACAAAAACAAGGGAAAATTTTTAGCTGAAATTGTTTTTTTTTTTTTAAAATCATTTTAGTTATGAGAAAATACACAATGCCACTTTTACATTTATTTATACAATTTATCATCGTAAAATATTGAAAAACTGTTCACTACAAAATAAAATATTTGAAATTCTTTACTGTAAAATAAAATATTTGAAATTCTTTACTGTAAAATAAAATATTCAAAATGCATTACCAGAAAATCTTACTCTCAGTATAATTTTAAATTGTCAATATATTTGTGCATTATCAATATGACTATATGTATTAGTATAATTTCATAGTATAACTACATATTTGTATTATCAGTACATTCGCATATTATCACTGTATTCAACGTCTCATTAATGCATTTAAATATTATCATAACATTTGCAATATGTAATATCAGTACATTTGCATATTATCAATATATCTTTAAAAAAAAAATAGGATACTGTAAATGAAGCTAACCTGAGCAATGATATCTTTCGATAAATTAGCTAAATTTTCCAATGCATCCAATGGCAATCCAAGAGTTTCCTCCTTATCAATCAATTTTAATGATTGAATTTTTATTAAAACAACAATCCGATTAGCTGATATTTGAATATTTCCATCAATTATACTACTAATAAGCATTGTACCAACTTTTTCACCGCTATCATCAATGTACAGTGCAGCTTCAAGTTCCAAATCTACTCTTGCTATACCTATATAAAAAATGATATGAAATATAGTATTTATATTGAAATAAAGAATTGATATTGAATTAATAAATTAATATTCGAATTAATATATACATATATATATATTTTGAATTAATATATATATATATATATATTTTCATATATTTGAATATTTGAATTAATATATATATATATTTTTTCGAAAAATTAATCAATTCATATTCGAAATTAATATTGAAAATTAATATTGAAATATTCCCGTGAAGAAAAAGAAGTTAGGGTAAAGCAATGAGATTACATTATTCAATATTCCTGCTTTGGGATATCAGGAGGAAGCGGGAAGATTTATTGAGGCAAACGAAACATATAAACAGCCAGTAGTATTAGTTTTCGTTTTTTGCATAAATTAGTTGAAATTAAGAAAGCAATTCGTTAATGATATTGCTATGAAAATTATTTTTTTTTATTTTTGCATCAACTAAAAAGGATAATCATTTTTTGTCATTCCAAGTTTTTTTTTTTTTTTTGACTCAAATTTGAAATGGATATGATTTTAATTTCTAGTTTCAATTACTAATTTACTTCATTCATTTGTAAAATTTCTAATCAAATTATAATATTCATCATTAAAAAAAATCAAATTGTTAGCTTCCTAATACTAAACCTAATAATATTTATGATTAAAAAAAAAATGACAAAATTTTAATATTAAAAATGATATTTATAATTAAAAAAATAGGAAAAAATAAATAATTCTTTTCTTATCATATTATTTAACTATTTTTGTTTATAAATTTTGAATATATTTTAAATTATTGAATATTTTTCCAGTTATATTAATATATTATATTAAATTAATCAATAAAATATTATCAACAAACCATTATCTTTAGCCATTAATGTTACAAATGGTGTACGCTTGGAATAAACTTTGATATGTATTAATTTTTTTGGATATTTTTCTCGAATAGCAGGCATAATATCACCTATGCATACTCCTAAATCACCTAAAATATCCTCCTCTTTTTCATCCTCTTTACTTTTGATCTTATCATTATCATTATTATCACTATCATCATTGGTAGCACTTCGTTTACGACGTTTCATAAATTTCCCAAATGATACTGTTGAATTTTTTTCATCATCAAATTCTTCATCATCCTGAAAAAACAAAAAAAAAAACGAAATAAAATATTAAATATTTTGAATGATAATAAGAAAGATGAAGAAGGGAAATAATAAATTTTATTTCATGACAAAAATATAATTTTTATTGATGTAGTTAATTAAATGTAAATGTATCATATGATATCTTCAAGTTTCAATATTTTATTCAAATATATACAAAATGTTAAGGTAAATTATTTCAGAAATTAAAATTTACTTTTTCTTTTTTCAATTTACACTAATAAAACAGAATGTAGCATTTTTGCAATAAATTGGAACTCATTTTAAAACTTGAATTGAATTGAATTTAAAAATTAAAAGAAAAAAAACATTGTTACATCGATATCCGAATCAATCAAATCATCATAATCCTCATCACTACATGTCGTCTTTAGTAAACCACCTAATTTTGGTGTTTCCGGTCCAACGCGAAGCATGATAACATCATTCCTGAAATTAAATTTTAATTTTTCGAATCCTTTCCCTTTTTTGTTTCATAAATCAATTTGTATATTTTCATTATCAATAAAATCATTTTTTTGTAAATTATTTTTTGAAGGAAAAATTTTTTATTAAAATTAATTTTTCTTGAGCAAAAAATACATTTCACATTTTCTTTATGATAAATTTTTTTAATATTTTATAAAAATTTTCAATAAATTTATGAACTGAAAGGAAAAAAAAGCAAAAAAAGGAAGAAAAATTTTCTCTTTTCTTTTATTAAATCTATTAATATTTAATAATAAAGTATATGTTTACATAATTATTAAATTTAATAATCACTTATGCATATGATATAAGAGTGAATTAATTGTATAATCGCTAATTAATATATCCAACATTCGTTTATTAGTATTATTTTGAAATTGTGGGAAATGCATTGGAAATGGATGAAATGGTGTATTATCCATTTCATTTGGTGTAAATGCTGCTCGTAATCCAAATTGAAAATAATCAGGTGTTGCAAATACCTTTATTAAATGCATATTTAGCACTGCATTAGGCAAAATCTGAAATGAAATTCTAATTAATACTTTTCATAATTATTTTGAAAAAATTTCAATCCAGTAAGAAAAAAAATAAGGATAAAATCAATAAAACAACACCAAATCAATTTAATTAATATTTTTTATGGAAGTTTAATTCAATAATAAAAAGGGGTTGAGATAAAATTGATGAAAAGGAAACTTCATAAATTTAATTAAGATTTTTGATAGTGAAAAAAAAGGAAAAATATTGTATATAAAATTAAATTCTAACTTTCCCTTTATTATTATTATTATTATTATTATTATTATTATTATTATTATTATTATTATTATTATTATTATTATTATTATTATTATTATTATTATTATTATTATTATTATTATTATTATTATTATTATTATTATTATTATTATTATTATTATTATTATTATTATTATTATTATTATTATTATT